GAATGTAAATTGTGATGGCTTAAAGTCGAGCATGGTACCCCAAATTTGACAAGACTGCGCTTCAAAGCATGTAGCCCTTTGTCACAATCTCGATAGCTCTTTGTAGCTTCCAGCGTGCGAGATTTTAAAATTTCAAAGCGTACACGCTCATCAGCTTAACGCAAATTGTCGCATTCGGCAAAGGGCAACGCGTCACAAGCGACTTGAAATGGCTAAATCAAATCTAAAAGGGTGGAATATGGAGGAATATGAAGCTCACTTAGAAGCCTGGAAATCTGCCTCTTCTATTGCTCCCTAGTTCAAAAACGATTGGTGAGGGGCCGTGCCATAATGTCATAACTGCGTTATAATCGTGCAAATAGCTGGTCAAGCTACTTTAATTCATTCCTTTAGGATGCTGGCTTCGGTCAATCGATCACGCCTTTGGGCGTCACTGATTTTATCGAAGATCATGATCCCAAACAAGCCATCCTCAAGCTGGGATTGCGTTAGCGCCAAAGCCACAATGATTTACACAAGCGAATAGATTATAAAGTGATCCTGGGCATAACTGGTCAGTGTTCAATAAAGCTGTCTTAATTCCTTTTTCGTCCTTTGAACGGCAATGAACAATTATATTTGAGAAAGGTCTGTGCAATGTATAAAATTGTGGCTTAAAATTTGGTGTTAGCTGATGGTTGAGTGTTGCTAATGCGTTAGATAGCCCCTAAGACGTAGCCATCAACGCCCAGAGCGTCTCTCTCTGAGTATTTTTACTGCAGCGAGGGGATTGCACTTTGACTGATGATACTACCCATTAATATAGTCACGAACACTGTACAGGATACACCCAACCATGCTGTTCTACATTACGTCCTTGAAAAATGACGCTTGCACTCGAATGTGGCTGCACTTAGGCTTTTAAATGCATGCACGATTTGTCTCTTGCTGTAAGCCGATTAAACACAGAAAGTCGGCGCCGAGTAAGGAGATATACTCTTCTACAAACTCGCTTTGTTTTATGAACAATGAGAGTCAGATCCGGCGCAAGTGGACGCAGAAGCGCTAGAGCCGGGGTGACGTTCAAAGACGCTCGGCCACCCAGAAGTTGAACTAGTATCTCGTTCTGAGCACGGAATGCAAAAACTTCCGTTTCCAGCGGAAGGCGCTCCACCTTCGCACGAGGTGACGTATTCGCCTGTTCGACGCTAGGCGCCGCTCCGATAGATCACGATAATACTCAGCGTGAGGCAGCTGGTGCACAAATTGCTCCAGGCTCTCGAGGACTTTCGCACAGCGGTAGGTGACCTCGGAAATATGCTCGACGGAATGTCGATGACGACGGACTTTGCCCTCCAATGCTCGAAGATCATCGCGAGTCACCGATCGGCGATCAACCAAGTCGTCATCGTCCACCGCCGACTGTTCTCGATGAGAACGCTGGTGTCCACTACCACGTGGAATGCATTCTGGGTTGATGTCGTCGACGGAGTTTAACCCGAAATGTTGTGAATACCCCGACTCAGAGAACGCGTGGGAGTTTGAATTGCCGCTTTGATAAGACTGTCCAGACGTCGTGGACACTTAGGATCAGAAAAACTATGCCGCTTTGCGCTGTCGTGTACCATGCGCTTCTCAGCGGTAGCCCGGGACGCTTGAGGGTCATGAGCTGAGCGCCCTTAGCTGCTGTGGTCGTAGACTCACACGTGTTAGAAACCACAGAGCTCGCGGGAGCGTTATGGATTGCTCCATATGCCGCATGGCGACAATTTGCAGGAAGGCTTTGCGCCTTAAGTTTGGCAGACTCAAATATAAGATGGTGCTACACATGCACGTCTACTTCCTTGCGGCTTCGCTGTAGGGTGGAGAGCGAGGAGAGAATCCTGTGCCGCTGCACCCATCGCTCAGAGAGCTCCCCATCATCTGCAGCGGTTTCGCCGGGGCGAGCATTACAGGAATAGTCCGCATTGCGGGAACAGGGGCGCCTCGTTCCTGAGCTCGAAGTCGAGCGCAGTACCGATCCGTTAGATTTTCTTGTGGTATCAGAAAGCGAGCTCGGACAGATATCCGCTGATCAAGCTCGGCTTGTTTAGTGGCCGGGGGTCCGCTACGTAGACGCCTAACGATCGAGAGATCGCGTCTTTCGCTTCAGTACCGGGATCCGCCGAGTGGAAGCCATACTCCACACGAGGGTCGAAGACCGAATGTCATCAAAACGAGCGCATGAGAGACACCCTGTGGACAGCCTCCATTTGTCGCTCCTGTGCCTCGTCAAGGCGATGGGTAAAACTACCACTTCCCCAAAAGCCGAGAAGTCGGGGAACGGACACGGTGTCCGCAAGGTTTGAGCCGGGCTCACGTCGCGCCGTTGGTGCATTTCATCCTCCTCGTCTTCCCAAGCTGGGAAAGGAGTATCCTACTCGTAGTCGACTTCCTCCAACTCCTCGACGAGGAAGTTTGTCGCCCGGGGCGGGCGCGATGTGTTGCGCTCGGCTGCTGAGGGATGTACTTCCCCGTGAAGCCGCGGGCGCCCTGTCCGGAGATGCACCCTGTGCAAAAGAAGAAAGGCTATGACCGCGGGTACTCTCGGAATCAGGCTTGGCGTTTTGCGTGTCGTAGACACAGGGCCAATGGAGCGGAGATTGTTTAAAGTTGTTCTTAAGAACGTGACGGTGTCTCAGACACGCGAGCCTCATATTAGGCGACCGTTAAGTGTGAATTGTGCATATTCACAACTTTAATGAAGAGGTGTAATGAGGTTACACGTACCCTTATATGAAAGGGTGGGCCGCGCAAGATGGTGTGATCGTACACAATCTATATTACAGAAGTTCGTGTAATCACACAACGGTGTGGCTACAACGTAACAAGAAGCCGCTACGTGGCAGGATTGCCAGCAACAATGCATATCAAATAGGTTTTGCTATATTAGTTGGGCATAACTATATTAATTAGGAAAACCTAGGGTTTTAAATTTTGGCGACTCTGCCGCAAAAATAGCGAATTCGATTCGAGGAACGGGTGCGCGAAGGCAGATAAAGATTTTGCTTCAAACAATTTCTTATACTAACTACCATCACAGTATAAACAGTGTTTATTATTATATCTTAACACTATAAAACAACCAAATACAGTTTCAATTTTGAACAGAAGAGTTCATTTACCTTGGTTAAGGTATTGAGTACTTGAAAGAGCGGATTGCGATCCGCTACACTCGTACTGGTCAGTGACCTTAGCTTAGCTTCATCTATGTAAAGAGTTACGGCAGCCTCGCTGCACTTGGGGCAGTGTTTTGAGAGAAAAGTGAGTACTAAAACCAGTGTGGTCCACACCGTCGAATGGGCTATGTTAAATACTGCATTATTGTTTACATACACTTTATCACTTTGTACAATTGTACACAAGTCACCCTGCCCTTTGGTTTAATTGTGGATATTCACAAGCACCGAAGTGTCGGTGTTGATGATGATGGTGGGTCCCGTGGAGGAGAAGTATATGGTTCACGTGGCTGCTAGCCACACGTCAGGTGTAAGACAGTCTTATTTGGGGCCGTGATAAAGCGCATTTTTTAGCAATTGCTAGTCAAAACAGAACTAATTCGAATATTTATGTCACTTTTACAAATACAGAGCTTATTAGATTTATTTAGTTACAATAGTGGCTCTCAGTTTCGCTCCTAGCTTAGACGTACGAATCCAACCTTTGTGTGCCTGTTAACGTGAACTTTACAAGTCGAAACAATCTCTTTCAAATTGCACGGCAACCTTTTCACAGTTCCTTTTCGAGCTTAAGGCGTCGACGGTCAAAAAGCTCAGACGGATCGCGTGGTGCAGAGGCTGACATTTTGGCTCGTACGCGCGTCGTTTCCAAGCAAAACAGAGGTTTTAATTTTATTCACGCAGGATACCGAAATATGCTCTGACGGCGGAATTCTAATTCCACCGAGTTGAGTAAGGTCGGTGGTATCTACTCTCGCGCTGACGGTAGATACTACCGATACTTTCTGACTTCGTTAGCATACTAAGGATACAACGTTATTATTATACCTTAGTACCACGTCTCGATACCGCGCACGCACACTAAAGTGCCATTTAAGACGTAGTCTGGTCATAGTTTTTGTAATTTCTACGTATTTACACCATAAAAGGCGTAAAAATTATACCTCCCAAACCACCGCACACGATCGTCTTGCTTGATTACAGATACAATGCTCGAATTTGCATGGTTTGGAGTTGTCCTTGCCCAGGCGCTGTATTTCTAATTTGATTCAAATGGCAGCGTTTATTATATTAAAAAAGGTAAGATACGGCCTCATCGCTAAAACAGTCTGAATTAAGTACAAGCGTTGGCAGGGAGAATTCCACGCCACTTCATATCGTTTACGAGCTTGTAGCTATTAATTGCTGTATTGGGACAACCACCACAATGATGCAGAGCCACCACAGCATTATCCCGCCACGAAAGAACAGGGGAACCCGACGAACCACCCTGCGTATCTAAGTAATACGCGACTTGATTAGGCGCACAACCTCCCATGGTCAAAGACGACACCGTTCCAAAGCCACTGTCTGACTTCATAGCAATACGCTTGCCCCAGCCAGAGGGGTGCTGAGGCACGTATACACGCTCATTCATGACAGCTCCACGAGAACGAAGACGTAAATAGCCGTACTGACCGGATAAATTGATAGGGAGTTTCACGAGAGCGTAATCGAGAGACGCATCAGCATAGATAAGTCTAGCGTATGAAGCGCGAATAGTACCAAAACACGCCCGAGATCCAGCGCAGTTGATGCCACAGCTTGATCCCTGAGCCATAAATTCAAATTCTGTATTACTGGCGTGACTTTGAGTTGAGATGCAGTGGTGGTTAGTTATGAGATGCCCTTGACTACCAATGAGCCAACCTGTACAAAAGAAGGATCCTGTTGACTTTTTGATTAATAGCCGAGCCACAGCGTTCGAAGCCTGAAAAACACTCGTGTAGCCAGAATAACATTGGGCCTCGCGGCTATTGTCTGCGCCACAAACTTCTTCTTTGGATCCATTTAATGTTGATCCCTGACCCAAATACTGGTAGCTATCGACTACAAATCCGATACATTCCGATAACGTTGTCTTCTGTGCTGAACTTGATGCATTTGTAAACAGCTCTACTATCACTGATGATGCTGACAAAGCATCCGCGAAGAAAGTACCACGATGCTCAGCACCACTATATTGCAGAACACGAGTATCAACAGCTGCAGGATCAGCAGCACGAATCTGAACATAGTCGTCAACGGGTAATTCGAAGTGTTCGAAGTGCACCGCAATGAAATTTGCCAACGGGTTCGTGATCAAGTAAGCAAACATTGGTTGTAAATAGGTTGAATCTGATATTTTTGGGTACTCTGTGCTACTGTTGCATCCAACCCCAAAGCTTTCTTTTTCAACACCTGCATTCACATCGTCGAAACTGCTCGAATTTAAATATTGCGCTGTTGTTGAAGACGTAAGTGCTCCAGCAAGCGCCACCGCTGACACAACAGTACGAAGAAACAGTCGAATCATTCCTTTATTTGTTGATGTGACCTGTTCTTCTAACGATGTAAGTTCAAAACTGGGTGATATTGCCTAGCTCCATCTATGATTTGTCACCCCGCAGCAGTTTCCAACACCAGTAAGCCATTTTAGCATCTACCGGCACACCCAAAGGCAGATTCTGAGGACGTTTCGTAATACATAGAGTATTTAGTAGCAAGAGTATGGCATTGGTATGCGACTGAGCTGGTGAAAAGGGCTATTTGAATCTGCAAAGCTACTATTCTGCATGAGCTTTCTAAATCAATGATGATTGATTTCATTGCGAAGTGCTCATTTCAGCAACGGTATGTATTTTAAAATAGAACTGCGAGATCCCACTTACGTACCTTAACATTGAGATGCGGGACAATTTCAAGTGAAAAGGGGTGGTGTTTATAAACACCGAGTAATAAAGGGGAGGGCCGGGCCTTAAAATGTCATAACGTACTACCAGCCCAAACTAAAATGTATCACCGACCTTGAACAACGGCAGAGAAATACAAATATGAAAACGTATTTTACTTCTTCGCCGTCTTCTTATTCGATTTCTTAGCAGATTTGGCAGTAACTTTCTTAGGAGCGGACTTTTTGATCACAACCTTCTTCGGCGCGGCCTTCTTTGTGCTTGTTTTCTTCACCGGCACCTTCTTAACAGGAGTCTTCTTAGCTGAAGTTTTCTTCACAGCAACCTTCTTGGCCGCAGCCTTCTTTGCAGAAAGCGACTTTTTAACCACTTTTGCCACCTTCTTTATGGTTTTAGCTGTGCTGTCAGATACCTTCATGCTCTTTTTACTTGAAGCTGCAGGCTTGCGCAACTCAGGAGACAGTTTGTAAGAGCCTTTAATCTGAATAAGTTTGCCAGCTTCCACAGCAGTGCGAAGGGCCTTATTCAAGTGGTGGCTGGCATAGTTATCCTTCTTGGCCTCAACAACCTTGCCGATTGCTTGACGCGAAGACCCATTGCGCTCCTTCAGCTCCTTTATAGCAGAAACAATAAGATCAAAGTATGAAGGACCATTGTCCCCCGTATTCTTGACAGCAGGAGCCTTCTTGGTCTTGGATTTTTTAGACTTAGGTGCTTCCTTGGTAATTGGCTCGTCTTTCTTAGAAGACGTAGCAGTCTTGACCTTGCGGGCCGTAGGCGAGCGCGTCGAGGGAGAGGCCGTGCTTTCTTCAGATGGGGCGGAAGTCGATGCGGGCGTGACCTCAGCAGTCTTTGCGTCTTCAGTGGGAGCCATGACAGTTGGAAAGTAGTGAAAATAGGGAGCGGGGAGCGGTCAGAGCCGTCGACGTCGAGTTCTTTTCTGCCACTCACACGAATTTAAGGGGATTTGCCAGTGCAATTCTTGCGAGAGCAAACAAGCCAACCAAAAACATTATACATAAGATTCCGCCAATTATAGCTGCAAGAGCGAATCACAAGGTAAAAAATTAATTATAAAGAAAATATATGAAAGGAAATCAGCAAGTCGTGGCAACAAGGATGCAAAATGACGGCCCTAATCGAGGGTAGGTTACTGAAAGTCATGGATGTCGTTCGTGCCATGCAGCACGGCTGTATATGACTATGATTTTTTTCTAGAAAAAATCGTCCTAACACTAGCAAATAGACCTCTTGAATATACCCTTTTAACGCTTTTGTTCATCGGAATCTGCAAATTGATTTCGTCCATTTTCTATGGACATGTGCAACATGAGCCTCAGCATTTCATCAACCTTCATGAGTTCTAATGTCATCAGTTTTGGCTATAGATAGTTGCAGAACCTTTCTTTGGCGGTGAAAGTAGAATGACCTTACACATAGAGCAATGCGTTCTTACCGTAAATAAGACAACACTGAGCGCCTAGCTTTAATGTGCTTAGCATCTTCACACACGCTTAGAATCTGGATTCGGGCAATGCATGGCTTATATTTCTGCTGATCAACTAATTAATAAAAAAGTGGTGGTACGGTGACGCCACTGGCTACTGTATTTTCTCCAACTGTATACAGGAACACTGCAGCAATATGTGACTTCTGGTCCAGTGTGATTGCTAGTTGGCTTAGTGGTAGGACATCACAGCTCTCATTGTTGAAACCTATGGCTAAATATCCACTGTCTATGTTTCCGTCCAAAGTTGATCCGAAATTCCCGGTACAACGTCCCCCAGATGACAGAATGCCGATGTAGAATTCTTTAAGTAAGCCAGCTTATTCTGTGCCTCAAGAACTCAGCTCTCGGCTCAATAAAACAACGCCGTCGTCTTGAGGTGAGGGTTGGTAGTCTGAGGCTTATAGCATACTTTCCAGTTAATAAAGGGCGACGCAATTGACAGCTGGTTATACTCACCTCAGAGGGACATATGAAGTCTCTTCTTGACTAGCTCCCCTCGGATCTTTCCTCATTCGGACCAAAGTAACAGTTGGTGCCGGTGGCACACGTTGCAACGCAAGTGAACTCGAATATTCCAGCACACATCCGTTCGTAAATCATTAAAATTGTAGTCTGAGTGGCTTGAACCAGCTATGGTTCGCTGGTGGGATATAAATTGTCATGGTGCGACCACGCAACGTCCTTTGATGTGCTCCGCTCCTGGCTTTGTTTGCTGAAGTAAGAGCTGAGTCAAACACGAGCAATGTCTTTCACGAAGTCGACACGCGACAAAAAATCAATATTAATCCACGTGCAAACCGGTAATGGTGCTAGTCAAGGCGATGTATGACGTGGGACCAAGATGATCAAGGTGCTATACAGCATAGGAAGAACAAGGCCCAGTGCAAGCTTGTTTGCGTATTATACCTCAGTGTCGTTTCTTTAATGGAGTAAGCACTGTATGTTGTCTACATGTACCTTACACTTTTGTTCGATTGTACGAAAGTTACGCTGCACTTTTCTGTGATTGTAAGTACTCATAAGTATTGAAGTGTCAGTGTTTCTACGAGGATGAAGCTTCGTAAAGGAGAGGTCCGTGGTACACGTGACCTGCTAGCCGCACGTCTAATGAATTCTTTATGAGAGGTGATAAATCATTTAAGAAGGATTAGTCTAGGCAAAGCTCACCTTGGATACTTGTACTCTTGATACGGCAAGGCAAACTATTAAACTTGCTACATCAGAGGCTCTGGTTCGAATCTTTCTTTGGGCAACTCCGTTGCACTTGGCAGCACGAGTAGTCTTTTCCCCGAGCGGTTGCGAAAGGACTCAATCCTATGTGAGGATGTATCATGACATGTCTGACTACCAGCCTACGAAACAAGTAGACCTATATGGTAAGCTTAGGGCAAGTGATGGTCTCGACAGAGTCAAGGGGCGGTGTTCGTGTGGCTGAATGCATTGAATGCTTAAGAAAAGGCATTTATCAGATACATTATGCGGGAATGAAACAACTCCATGGGTACCCCAACATGGCACCGGTGGTATATCAGATGGCACCTACCTTAAGAGGGCGTGTAGGCTTTTTGGACTGGGGTTAAAAGGTCATTCGTTCTGGACGAGAAAAGCTGCGATGGTCATGGATACAAATATGATTTAAGCGGGGCGGCAGCGCGCCACGCATGCGATCCCTAAGTTAGGATCCACCGCGTGAGAATGGACACATACGTAAAGTGTATCTATTCAAGAAGGGATTAGTAACAGGGTTACACGTCCCCTTGTATGAACGCGGGTCGCACAAGTTGGTGCGACCGTACATACGTGTGTATTGCACAAGTTTTGTACAATCACAAAGTGGTGTGGCTACACCGTAACAAGAAGCCACGTGGCAGGATTGCCAGTAGTAATGTAGATTACTATGCTGATTGGGTTTTGCTACATTAATTAGGTATTATTATATTATTTAAGAAAACCTAGTGTCTTAGATTTGGCGCTCTGCCGCAGCTTGAACAATTAAATACAGTTTTAGTTTTGACCAGAAGTGTTCGTTTGCCTTGGTTCAGGCTTTGGTAGCGGACCGCTACGATCCGCTACACTCGTGCTGGTTCTTGGTAAGAACGTATAGTCGGTGACCTTAGCTTAGCTTCCTCTAAGCAAAGAGCTATGGGTGCCCCGCTGCATTTAGTAGCACTCGTATTCAATATACGCCTGAGTCGTTACGACTTATCCTATGTGAGGATGGAAAAATACTTCTATTTGTCCCAGGGAATGCAGGACGGGCTTACTAAGCTGATGTCCCCTGCTGGGCCTTGAGGGCGTGGAGCACCTTGTTGCGCAAGGTCCCGAAGCAATAAACGCACGCATAGAGGTGTTTTCGAGTTATGAACTTGCTCTGCTAGAGCACCTCCGGCAGAAGCTGTTAGCGTCCATGAAGCCATCGTCGAGGACCGATGATTCCTCCCGGCCCAGGCCGCTTATGGTGAACGTTAAGACCTTCGAGGGTAAGGATGGAGAGAATCCCCTGCTCTGTGCATGAGAGTCCGAGATGCCATGGCATCCGCCATGCTCCAAAACGAGCAACAGCACGTTCCAAGCTCGGGGGCGAGCGGGAGAATGAGCACTTACGTGCGGTACTTATGTTGAAGCTGCGTTCTCCTACTGGAAGGAGCGGGAGCGTTAGCTTTTGCGAGTGTTCCCGCCGCCTTATCAGGCATATCCCGTTCTATCGCGTTTTCTTTCTGCCCGGCAGGGCAAGAATGAGTTGGTGGGCTTTGTCCAATAGAACACTCATTGCGGGGATGGCAGCAGATCCTCTCCCCGAGGCGGGCGGCCACAGCGACCATCTTTATGGAAGGCCTCCGCACTGGTGTGGCAAGAATGGAAGTATTTCGTGTTCGTCCGTCTTCTTTTAAAAGATCGGTGAACGTGGCATTGAATGCCGAATTTAACATCAAGTCGGCACGACTTGGTTGGAATGCACACCCTCAAAGCTCGTCAGCGGGCCTGAGTCAATGGATCTCAGCTTCGCTGAGGAGGAGTTCCGAGCTGCTGAGCAACATTTAAACACCCGACGGTGTTTTGTTTGTGGAGACACCCGTCACCTCGGACTGATTGTCCCTGCGCAAAGCGTGTAAAGGTTCGTCGAGCCAACGTCCCGCTTCTGAACCATTCCGGTTTGACGCAGAGAAACGAGAACATCCATTAGGCGCAGGGCGACCTACTGGGGAAGAACTGAGCTTTGTTGGGCCTCAAAGAGGTTGAGGGCAGCAGGGGAGAGCTGCGTACTTTTGAGCACGGAACGTGTGTGCAAGCCGGGCTTGCTGGCCGTAAAAGCAACCGTGAACGGCTCTGAAAGCCATAGAAGATCCTTGTCGATTTCGGGGCGTCGGACAATTATGCTCAACTCTCCACCATTTAAGGAAGTCAGCTGTATGCTGAAAGCGCGGTTGAGTGGCACCGTCTCTGTTCGCATAGCGACGGGGACTTGTGTCACTGTGTCAAGGGTCCCTGTGGACCTCGGTGTCAAGTTCCTTGATTTTGATAGCGTGGAACGCTGTCTAGTATTAGACTTGGATGCAAAGTATGGCCTTATTCTTGGTATGACATGGTTGGAACACCATGAGCCATGGATTGATTGGAGGTCGAGGACCTTGGACGCTACGCGCACGTCTCCAAGGGGGGCTTTGATGAGTCATGAACCCACCTTTGTTTGGAAGCAGAAGCGCTATTGGCGCAGACACTGGACTAGGACGGTCAATGTGCTGGATATCGGAGTATCCAAGTTGTCAAACACCAAAGGTGTTTTGGGCAAGAGTCCCGACGGGGCTCGCGGGCTGAACGTGGAGTGGTACGTATCCCACTAAGCACTGATCATGTTACAAAGCAGTTGTTTTGTGCCAAGAATGGCATGGTCGGACGAGGTCTAAGGCATCGAGGGCGATCCTCTTGTGTTGCGCGTAGAGTGGCACGGAATCACCTGAGCACTGCTCACGTTTCGAAGTAGTTGCTGTACGCCAAGAATGGCATGGTCTGACGAGGCCCGCGGTACCTTGGGCAAGACATTTTGATGCGCGCGGAGTGGGGACAAAAGCAGCTCTTCGTCGGATGTTGTTATTATCATCAAGGCTCCGATGGAGCAGGGAGAGGGGACACTGGACGACGCCGAGTGCGAGTTCCCACTGGTCTCGATGAGACGTGAAATCTCTATAGAAAGGAGACGGCAAAGCCGTATGATTATTGCATGACGCAGGGCGTCGATACTGACCCCGGGTGTGCCTACCGTAGACGATAGCGCGCAGCTACATACCCTTGCCAGCGGTATGACAGGGGAAAAAGACGGCGACGTTACCTTCAAGGCTGTGCCCACGGTGGTTGTTCTTCTTGGT